CACTAAACATAGCACTAAAAGTCATTTTTTTCAGACTCATTCTTTTAGGTGAGAAATGTAGTTAATAAAAAAGCACTGATATTTTGTGTAAACTTCACATGACTTTAGTCGACATCTCAATGATTTTTCAAATAACTTTCACAGCATTTATTGAAATGTGGAAGCTGAATCTTAACACTTAACACTGCCACGACTATGCTGTAAATAGTGCGTAATTTTATTTAAACACATTTCATTTTTGGTGATTCTGTAACTCTTCTTTTCTTTTTTCCTCTCTCCCTAACAGCAGTGTAGCTCCTAAGCCCCAGCTCAGGTAAAGGAATGGTGTTGCAGGAGGAACAGAGCAGAAAATGGAGGGAAAGGGATTTTGTTAGACAATGCTGGCTTCTACGGCATAGTCTGAGCACGGAAAACTCCCTACTCTATCTCTTATAAATCTGCAAATATCCAGCTTTTATACATAGAAAAAAAAATATGTACCATATTTATACTGCACTCAACCCGCAAATCTGGATCTTTATTGATTTGGAAGAAAATACTGGATTTGGAGTTTAAATTCTATTGCTGCTACTTGCTAGCAGTGTGACTTGAGCAACTGTTGAACATCTTTTGAGCACTAATGTTTTTCATTACTAAATTGCAAGTTTTGGCCAGGCATGATGGCACATGCTTATAATCCCAGTCCTCGGGAGGCTGAGACAGAGAACTGTTAGGAGTTTGAGCCAGCCTGGGTTACACAGCGAGTTCAAGGCAAACTTGGACTGCACAGTGAGACTTCGTCTTAAACCCGTGATGCACTGCTGGGCCAATAGCCTGAGAGGAAAGACCCTGTCTGCTGCCTGATAAGCTACTGTGTGTGTCTATAATTCTGAGCTTCATTCTTACTGTCGTGAGTGACACCTTGCACTGAAGCTCCTCCTGGGACTTCACCGTCATTCTCAGAGTTTAAATTCCATGAGGGTGGTCACAGAGTCTGGTGGCCAAGTGGCGCAGGGTTAGCATCACAGAGCACACGGAATGCTAACTCCCTGACCGCAGTCCACATCAGGGCCTTTAAAGGACCCTTACCAGGGCCACATAACAACAGTGAGGGGCTGGGGATTTAGCTCAGTGGCATAAGCGCCTGCCTTGCAAGCAGGCAGTCGTGAGTTCAATCCCTGGTACCGATAAAAAAGAAAAAGACAAAAAAAAAAAAAAAAAAAAAAACCACATAACAACAGTGATTAGCCAGGTAGAGTGGTGCACAGTTATAATCCAAGGTCTCTGGGAGGCTGAGGCAGGAGGGTTGCAAATTAGAGCCCAGCCCCGGTAATGAAGTCTCTTAATGAGATCCTGTCTCAAGATAAAAATTTTTAAAAGGGCTGGGGATGTAGCTCTGGGAAGTTCCCAGGTTCTACTTCCTGTACCACCACAAAAAAAAAAAAAAAAAAAAAAAGAAAAAAGAAGAGTAGGAAGAAGAAGAGGAAGAAGAAAGACAGTGACTTTCAGAAGGCAATAAGAAGCTATCCATTATCTTTAAAAATGCCAGGCAAAATCCTTTATGGTAGCAGAAATCAAGAGACTTCCCATCATCAAGAACTCAAAATGCTAACGTGGAAGGTAAGTGGACACGGCAGGCCAGCCTGGAGGAAATCTCAGCCCCTAAGGCAACAGACCAAACATCCCAGGAGAAGCCAGTTTTGTTTCCAGTTAAATTAGTTCCATTCATCAGCGCCCTGTCTGGTGTGCCCCTCTGTCTGACATGCTGATGATGATTAATCAGTTAGCAGGGCTAGCTGATTTCACTATTGCGTCACACAGGGCCAGACTTTCCCTCATACACACTATTTCCGTATATAATGTTAACTACCTCACGCAAACTCACTACAGCCAAACATTTTTTCCCAGATTTTGAATTCATACTGGAAATTCAAATTAGTCAGGATCCTATATCCTGAAGAAATAAACAGACCCATTATCCCAAAGAGGCAGAAAACTCAACTCAGCTTTGCCATGTAGCTCCTGGTTCCGCCAGAAGGTGGTGATGGAGAGCCTGCAGGGCGGGAGGAGCGGGAAGGGCAGGTTTTTTGTTTTTTTGGTTTTTTTTGGTACTGGGGATGGAACTCAAGAGCTAATGTTTACCAGGGAAGTGCTTACACCGCTAAGCTAAATCTCCAGCATGAGACAGGCTCTGCCCTTTTCCTGTCACCAGTGTGTCCCAGAAGCTGCCTCCTCACATCTCCTGAGGATGCCTGCATTGCTCCTCAGAGGTTGGGTTTCAGCTCCTGGGCTGCAGGCTGGAAGATCTGTTAGGATAACCCTCACTTCCTTGTGTGCTCAGCCCTAAGAATAGCAGCTGTTTCCTGTACCTGCCATGTTCCTCATTTATCTACGCTGCTTTTCAATATCTGCTTTTCTGGTAGAGCCTAACATAGCATACTCAAGAGCCAAACATCATCTATAACAGCAGTGAATAACACAGATTCTGTGCCGGGCATAGTGAGGCATGCCTGTAATCCCAGCACTCTGGAGGCTGAGGCAGGAGGATCTCAAGTGCAAGGTCAGCTTGGGCTACGTAGTGAGTTTAAGGTAAGTGTGAACTACATAGCAAAAAAAAAAAAAAAGGCTTAGATTCTGAAACGAGTCACAAGTGATAATTCCAGTGCATTTACAACGAGTGATCAAAATATGATATATGGCGAATGCTTAAATTTTAAAAATTACAGTAAAACACATATGGCCATTTACTCCCACTCAAAATACTTCCCCACCCTGACCCCATTGTTCTCGCCACGTGTGAAGCAATTCTAGAAGCCCTCTTTCATATCTTTATGAGGTGTAATCAAAAATACAGTGAATGCTGCTGCCAACTGCCAGCCAACAGAAAGACAGGCTTCTAAAATCCACGCTGCTGTGTCCTCCCCCAGCTCATTCACTCACTGGATCTGGAGCCGTGTGACTTCTGGTTCTTCCCCGGAGTCAAAATGACCATGAAAGGTAAATGAATCAATTTAGGGCACAGAGGCAGTCACGACAGGGCAACTAAGATGAAGGGTGTGTTTGGAGGAGGATTCACTAGCTATGTGTGTCTATGTAACACATTTTGAAAACTTCAACACTTGCCGTATTTTTCTATCATATAGCATATACAGTCATACCTACTAGTGATGGAAATTTTAATTCACCTCTCTAGATTCTTATTTTCCTTAATCAATTTCCTTCGTATATTTATTAAAATCTAGTAAGCCTACTCAGTACCAGGTATAATGGTATGCAAAACAAATTCCCTGACTTCCCAGGTCTTCCATCATGGGAATTAAAGAGCATGAGGCCAGCGGTAGGCACAATGTCTCAGCTTCAAAGACAAATGGACCCTGCACACAGGACTCTGTGAGCAGCTAGGTCTCTTCAGAAAATGGGACTGAAGCTGTTCCCAGCAAGTCAACATCACACCATGGATTCCTGAGTGCTCTGTCCACACCTCCTGCTCAGCGCAGAAAAGCAACGGTTGGGTGGCAGCCGCGTCATTCAAAAGAAAACGAGACAAATGCCCCGGAGAGGGAACACTATGAAGAAGGTCTGAGGAGCCAGGGAGTTAGCTCAGTGGCACGTGTGCTTGTCTGGCAAGCACGAAGTTGGCAGTTTCGATCCCTGGTTCCAAAAAAAAGAAGCAATTCTGAAGAGACCATTAAGTACCCACAGTACTGAGTACCAGGTGCTGACGCACAGCTGGGACTGCAGGTTCAGAGCCACCACAGAGTAGGAGAGGAGGAAGACACTAGAAAGCTGTCACTCCAGCATCAGAAACAGTGGTTTTATAAATATGTAACAAATCATAACATAGGCTTTCTACAGCAGATTACACACCAGGGAGGCAGGAGGAGGAAAAGAACGCTTCTGGGTTCTACTTAAGCTTGGGTCCAAGGAAAAGCTGAACAGAAATTCAGTCTTTACGTGCTGACATAATCCATCCTCAGGCTTCTACTACTCACACAGTGAACATTTGGGGGCAGGCTGAAGTTGTTGCTGCAAGACTGCTGTGTGGCCAAATTTTTGAAAGTCATATCTACAGCAAATTGAGACCTTATAAATCTAAACAAAACACTCCTATTTTTTCAAACTCATTTTGACATGACTATGACCAGCAAGTCATATTGAAGGAAAGCAACCACAGGAAATTATTGTTAGAAGGTCTGTTCCACTCCTTGCTCTAGGGCCTTGTTATAAGCAATTTATCGTCACTGAATGAATTTAAAGTTCCATAAGTCATGAAAAGCCTGAAGAGTTTTATTCATAAATAAATGTCAACACTTAACAGTAAAGACAGTTTTAAAACTCCAGAACTATTGAAACCAACAATTTATACTGCCTAGATGACTTATTACAGTAGTTTATAGTCCGAATGGTAAGATAATTCAATTCCACCTGAAGAGTCATTATGTTGCCAAGTCTAAGAAAAGTACTTTGGGTAAAAGTAGTATTTCTTGGTGTTTCAATTTCAAACAAATTATTATTTCTGTATTTAGTACATCAACCAGGAAATTCCTTTCATGATTTGTCATACTCTTGGGTAATTAAATATTTTATAAGGAAATAGGTACAAATACTAAATTCAAAAAATGATCCACAGAAAACTGAAGGACCCCCAGAGAGTGCTGATATCTGACATAAGGCAAAATAATCCCCTCTGCTCAAGAAAACTTCAAATGAGCACTGAATGTGCATCATAGCAAGAACATTATTATCCAGCAGAAGCAACTTGCTAAAAACCTGCTCCGAAGCAGTCTCCTAACAGATGTGAGCAAAAGGTGTCCCCTAGGAAACGGAGAACTTTCACTTGGCACAAAGTCTTCACCATGGCACATGGCAGTTTTCCCTTTAATCCTCTTAACACACATTCACATCAATCACAGGGAATCTGTAATACATTCTTGGACTCGGTGGGCCCAGTGGGCCCGGCAGGTAAGAACAGAGGGGCCCTGCTAATCAGAACAGCTTCCAGTATTCCTGAGCTTACATACCATCCAGGCCATTGTGATGACTATAGTTTCTTTTCCCCAGAATGCTCAGAGATGTGTGATTCGGGGTGGTTAGCATCCGCTTGGTGGCTGGGGTTTGCAGGCTTGGTGTAGATCGAATTACATTAGGTTTCTTCGCAGGATGGATCTCTGACAGGAGGGAAAAAGGTTTTTCAACTCAGAACATGGTATTAAAGTCTCTCTGCTAACAGCATAGAGAAGGCTAACAGCACACATCTTATTTTTTAATGAGCTGAGAGGTCCTCATAAGTCAGCCACAGACTCGCATAATGAAGCAGTTCCAAGTGGTGTTGCCATGGCTTTGCTTATCAAATAAGCAGTTTTCCCCCTGCTGGCCAGAGCTAGTCTCAGGTTGTGAATACAAACACAACACAAAAGCCACTTGAGAAGGTCACTTATGATGTGAGAGTTACTAAGGGAATAAAGCGTCTGACTCTTCAAGGTATCAGAAACCAAGTGATTATCTGAAGAGGTAGATTCAGGAAAAAGTCCCTCTGTGCTCTGTTCAGTCAGTGACATGGAACTGGTCTTGTGGGGGCTGTTTGAAAACCAGGACTCTTTTCCCTGGGCCTGCCACAGGGAGTGGGATCAGGGGCAACTACTCCCAGCCATAGTTCAAATATAATAGTCATATAATAGATGAAATGCTTTGACCGAAAACACATGTTAAAAAATGGGAAGTGTAGGTGGTGTGTGTTTAAGTATACTGTTGTGAGCCACACAGCTCAGAACTATCAGTTTTTTGTAGATGGATAGAAATTGCAATACTGTAGGACCTCCATATAGGAACCTCAGTATGTTACCAGTATTTTTTCTCCAAAGCTGAACCTGTTTGCCAACTATGTGCAAGCCACTGTCTCCCCTCTCACCCAAGGAAAAGGCCAAGACAACCTGACTTACTGCAATTCGGAAAAGCCCATTTTGGGGGGTCAGGGATTATCTCAATGGCATAAGCACCTGCCTGGCAAGTGCAAGGTCGTGAGTTTGATCCTCCTTACCCAAAAAAAAAAAAAAAAAGCCAATTTTTCTTTTGGTTTCAGGAATCAAACTTAGGACCCTGTACCTGCCAGGCAGGCACTTATGCTGCTGAGGTAGATCCCCAGGCCCAGAAAAATCCATTTTAATTGTTACAATTTCTACAACGTGGTCTGGCCAAAATCTTATACTTGTCAAAATTTAGGAATGGCTTAAATACTACCCCATTCTTAATTTTTTTTCCAACATGGCATTGAAGGTCTGTCAGTCTTGTTTGTCTTTATAACCTCCATATCCTGTACTTCATCCAGAACAATTTACTTTCTTAATCTCTTCCTTAGACTTAATGGAGACTTTGTCCATCTAGTTTTCTTAGCTTCATGAGAAAATACTTTTTTCCTATATTTCCATCTATTTAAATTTTATCTATCTTTCAAGGCTGAGATCAACTATTATTCTCTTCAAATAGGCAACCCTAAGACACAAGGGCTGGGGATATAGCACTTGCCTGGCATGAGGGCCTAGGTTTGAGCCTCAGCGCGCGCACACACACACAGACACACACAGACACACACAGACACACAGACACACACACACACACACACACACACACACACACACACACACACACACACACGTATGCCCTCAGCAAGATTTTTAAGTCCAAGGCCTTATTCATCTTGGTGTTCCCCAAATCGTGCACTACGCGTATCTTGAATATAGTAAATACACAGAAATGTTATGTAGGGATGAGCTAAGAACAGCTAAGAACAGAACAGTTTGGGGTCATCTGGTGGGACTAGAAGCCGATCTGCCCACAGAAGAAATACACAGGTACCCATGGGAAGGCTGACTACAATGGAGAGCTATATTCTACATTATAACCAGGTACCTTCCCTTGCAAGACGGGGAATTTACATAGCACTGCTAAGGGCATTATCACCACTACTTAGACCATGTCAAAACTGTTTGGTATTTTGGGGGAATATAAAAGCAACTTTTTAGCCCTTGAGAAATAGAGCAAGAAAGTGGCAGAGTAACAACGAAGAGGGAACTGTGAGCTTCTGAGTAGGGACATGTTGATGAGAACCAGGTAATATACTAAGTTCAAGGAGTTTCACTCTGATTTTTAAGTCTGGATGTCTAAATTCTGAATACTTCATAACTACAATCCCTCCTGACAGAGAAATAAGGTTAATGCAACTCTGAGTATATTTCACTTTTACTAAGAGAATGAAAAAGAAATTATTAGAAGCACAAAAACAAGCCATTCTTGCTTTTAGGTGTATTATAAACTATTTATCATAAACTTTTTTTAAAAATTACTGCTTAATAATATTGATATTATTTTAAAATATTCCTAATTGTGGTTATTTCCACATGTGAATGGAACCACATCTTTGGAAATTTCTCAGTTAGCTGGTGTAATAAAAACCAGGAAGTAGTACAAATGTTTCCCTTTCAAAGCAAACCTTTTGGCATACTGATATTGTAACTTTGAGGGCTGGGGATGCTAGTGATCAAATCCAGTGCCTTGCACATGGTAGGCAAGTGCTTTACCACTGAGCTATACATCTGGCTGTGCAGTATTCTGAAAATGTTGGCTAAAGATGGATTTGACAAGGAAGAAAGAAAGAAAGAAAGAAAGAAAGAAAGAAAGAAAGAAAGAAAGGGAGACAGAAAAGAAAAGAAAAGGAAAAGAAAAAGAAAAGAAAAGAAAAAAGAAAAGAACACAAGTGTGCTGGTACACACTTATAATCCCAGCAGTCAGGAGGCTGAAGGATCACTATGAGTTCAGGACCAGTCTGGGCTACAAAGTGAGTTCAAGGCCAGCCTGAATTACAGTGCAAAACTCTGTTTCAAAAAAAAAAAAAAAACAAAAACATAGCTCAGCAGCATAAGCACCTGCCTTGTAAGGATATGGTCATTAGTTCGATCCCTGGTACCAAAAAAAAAAAAAAAAAAAAAAAAAAAAATTAAACAAACAAACAAGTAAAGCAATTATCTACTTAAAGGAAAGAGTGATGTAAATTAGAGATACAGTAATTGGTGGGGCTGGGGATTTAGCTCAGCAGCATAAGCACCTGCCTTGCATGCAGGCGGTCATGAGTTTGATCCCCAGTACCAATAAAAAGTTAAAAAAGACGAAAAAAAAAAATAGAGATACAGTAATTGGTGCTGAGCAGCACAGTAAGTACCCAAAACAACCATACCAAACAAACTGTTTTGGCTGGAAAGGTAATAAACCACAAGGCAATCAACACCAACAATTCTGACTTACAGGTTGAGTACCAAAGAATGAGTATCAGAACAAAATTTTTGCATCAAAATGTGTTGAGTATCAATTTTATGAGAACTAAGACATGACTGAGTTTAAGAATGTAAGTATTAAAAATATGAATACCTATCCTGTAAGTAATAACTGAACTCATTTGCCTCTTTTTGCTTAATCTGTATTTATCTCCCTGAAAATAATTTTCATGCAAATATTTTTGTAAAAAGTAAACATACCCACAATTTCATTTGTGTTGGTAATAAAGTTTCTAAACAAAAAAAGTTATATACACAGAGATAACCATTTTCATCCATTTGGAAAGCTTGAATTTAGTTTAGACATGCATTTAAAATGGCTAAATATAACACGTAGAAATTATTTTTCTTCTTCCCCATTAGCAAATACCCACCTAAATACCCAATGATACATGCCAAAGGCTTCCTAGTGCTTTTGCCTTTCAGTGGACTTCCAGATAGCTCAGCATGTCTGTCTGCATCTGAGGAGAGAAAGAAACACGGAGACAACCAGTGAGGTGGGTTTCTCTACCTGTACCACCCACACCGCAGAAAGAAAGGTGCAAGTGGAAAACAGTGCAAAGCATCTAGCAGGTTCCTGCATGATTTCCTTTTGGGTTAGGAAAACGGTTTCTAGTTCTGGATCTCAATACTACATCAGGGGTTTAACATGAGAGCACTCACTATAAAGCCCCATGCCAGTGCTGCACACAAATACACACACACACACTCCTTTTTCATTGTGTGCCCACCTGAAAAGTGATGGAAATATACTACTGTTCTTGCCATAGTATTTCTGTGGTACAGTAGGAAAGTGCCCATAGCATGAAGTGAACCAGTCCTAACATACAACCGATCTGGTTTGAAATAATCAGAGCTGTGAAGGCAGCACACTCTTCCATTCCTAGAGTGTGGTGGGTTCCTTACTGGCAAGTCTTCACTTATCTTGGCAAAACTCAATTCTATTAGGTAAGAACCTGGCCAGATTAATAACATGGCCATTTGAGCAACAACAGGTTTCCTATCCCTCTTACCCTACTATGACGGCACCTGTGCTGAGATGTAAACAGTTACCCATGTGCAGAGTTATTTCCTCTAACTCTTGGAATGGTAAGATGATGCAAGGGTGGGTATTAGCTCATAAACATTTTCATCACATACCTCATTCCTTATCATGACATTTTAGAGGGAAAAAAAATAAAGTATATAACAGTGTTTTAACTGTCACTAGGAAAGAAGAGTAGATGAGATACAGAAATGTCTCTCATACTAAGAGTTGATATAAAAATTTAGAAGGGAAAAAACAAAATATGCATTGAAACTTTTTAAAAAATCCAGGTATTGTCATAAAACTTAAGAGTGGCTTTAGTTTATTTCATTGTATGTTTATACCTTTCCACACCTTCAAGTATTTGAGAAGAATGTCATACAGATTTTGATTCCACTAGAGAATTTTTCCTTTTGCATGTGAGTTCACTTTTCTAGGAATACATAAAGGAAATGTCCTTTAACAACTATAAATTCTTAGCACTACTTGTGTTAAAATGTACAACTTAATTTGAAACCTCACATAAATTAAAAACTGACTTTGTCATAAGCGCCATCCTTTTTTCTCCAAGAAAATATTTTCCTAGAAACTATTAAACAGATGGGAAAATAGCATTTTTTTAAAAAGCATTAAAATTAGCACATACTGCAAGGGCCTCAAACACCACGAATCTGAGTATGTACTCGAAGCACTAGTGAATTATCATGCAACCATTGATAACCATAAATGATCCCATTCCTTTCCTCCTATTCAGCTGATTTCCTTTGGGACAGAAATAAATTATGAAGCTTTTCACCTGCTGTTGCATTAACAGTGAAGACACAGGCAGAAATACTAATAAGCACATTTTGGAGATATAAGCTAACACACATTAGAAAGTGCCTCTAACCCTGCAAGCATCAAACATTAATACCAAATTCCGGCCTAGCATCACCATTTCACTGAAAATTCAGTCTATGTAGGAAAAGGAGGAAACATTCTTCTCTAATTTAAAAGAAAAAGCTTGAATGAATCATGTTGGTTATTTCCTCAATTACCTTGGACAAAGGGAACTACTGTAATTCTAGGAATAAGGCTAATTTCACTCTTTATTCCAGCTTATTAACGCCTAAGGAAAGCTATCAAAATGGTTGCAACTGACAGACTTTGACATACACCATCACTTTGACAAGAATCAACTAATGCATCAGAGGGTCATTAACACAATAAATCAAAGACACTCCATTCTAAACTACACTAATTTGCTTTTTTTTTCATTAAATCAGTAGAATTAATTATATGATGTTCCAAGTAAAAACTTTATATTATAGGGTACCTCTTGATAAGAGATCAAAGCTCTTTAGAAGGATCCATACTTCACCAATATTCATTATAAAGTAGTTGGTGGTAAGAGTTACCAGTCTCAGTTATTTAAAAATCAAAGTGAGGTGCCAAGGTGACCTAATTATTTGAACATGAGAAAAATGACAGCTACAGTATTTAGTAGAAAGAATCCATTCTGTCCCTAGGAAATGACCATGCATAGGGTTAATGCCCAAGACCAAACTTGATGCCACCTGTCAGTCAGTCCTTGCTTCCAAATTACTCATCCATTTCTATTTAGATAGCTACTAAAAGTGCATGGACTAGGAGCTGGGGATTTAGTTCAGCGGCATAAGCGCCTGCCTTGCCAGCAGGCGGAAGAGCATGGATAAGAAAGCACTCTAAAAAACATCCAAAGAACCAAATCACCTACTCAGAGATGGAAAACACCAGCAGCTCAACCACTTGACTGGGCATAAGGCAGTTTTTAGCTTCCTACAAAATACTTCTGGTTTCCTTGAGGTAAACATGGTAGAATGCTATCATTGTTATTGCAATTATGACCATTTTTCTGCAATGTTTTGAAAACACTGGAGCAGGGGAAGTTACATAGAAAAGCTTCAAATATAGAAACTGAGGTAAAATTCACAATGACATCTACATCAGATTTCAATATCCCAGTCAAAATAAAACCACTGGTAGGATTTGCTTATAGAATTGTAAAGGTATTTCTTAACAAGACACAAAACTCAAGTACTATAAAACAACTTTTTGTTTTGTTTTTTTAGATGGTCTGGATGTAGTTCGGGTTGGCTGTGAACTCATTATGCAGCCCAAGCTGGTCTCAGACTCATGGTAATCCACCTGCCTCACTCCCATGCCGAGATTTCAGGTGTGTGCTACTATGTCCAGCAAAATAATTATGTTAAGTTTAGCAAATATAAACAAGTCAAAGACAAAATGGGGGAGATGATCTGCATCACATCTCTGATCAAAGCTAACTTTGTTAAGATATAAAAACTTCCCACAAGTCAAGAAGACTTCTAACAGAAAATAGAACAGGGTCAAAACATAGCTGACAAAGGAAATACAAATGGCTTTCAAAAAAGGAATAATTTCAGAGGCTGGAGGTTTAGCTCAGCGGCTTACGTGCCTGCCTTCCAAGCAGGCAGTCATGAGTTAGATCCCCGGTACCGATAAAAAGGAAAAAGACGAGAAAAAAAAAAAGGAATGATTTCTGTCATTCAAAATGGGAAATGCAAGCTGATACAAGACATATTTCTCATCAGCTAATAAAGGACTTCAATGGCGAGTGACGGCACGATTCTAGAGACGCAGGTATTCTGGAGAAGTGGGAGAAATTATAAACTGTAATTTTTCTGAGGGCAACAGTGCAACTCAAAACGTACATTCTAGCTAGGCTCTCGTATTTAGATGTCTACCTTACAAAAATGTTTTTTGTTGTTTTGGTCCCAAAAACTGAATCATAGGCCTCAAGAGCATGCCAAGGTGGGGCTCTATCACTGAGCTATACTTCCAGCTTACCTAATTTTCAAGCACAAGGATGAAAAACGTATCAAGAAAATGTTAGAAATAGCAAAAAATTTAAACACAGCACTGGTTACAGTAAAATTGGTACAGTGGTACAGTGGTACAATAAAATTGCACAGTAGCCCTGCCAAAATGAAGTAACTCCCAATGTACAAACATTAAATAAAAAAAAGTGAACAATGAGACTGTATAAAAATGATACATGTAATGGATCCTTAGAGATCCCTAGAATACCTTGAATACTTAAAATGATAATGGGGTGAAAGCTACCAAAACTAGTGACAATTACCTATAAAAAGGGTAAACCAAGAATGAAAAAGATATGTAACCACTTTTATAGTTTAAAACCATTTAAGTACCCGCTTGAAAAAATACACTGCCAAAACAAACCTATTGATGTTATCATGCACAAATTTTTAAAAGTAGTAAAAACACAAAATAGAGGACAGTGGCTACTGATACAAAATGAGCAAAACAAAACTGTTCTCTTTAGGGGCTGGGGATTTAGCTCAGCGGCATAAGCACCTGCCTTGCAAGCGGGCGGTCGTGAGTTTAATCCCCGGTACCGATTTAAAAAAAAAAAAAAAAAACAAAAACTGTTCTCTTCTGATTAATTTAAGACTACACAAATTCAGAAAAGCTAGACAATGACTAATTTTTGCTGAAAAATGACTAGAAAAACTCATGCCTAATAAATTTCTCATGAACAGGCTCTTAGGGTACTTTCAAAGTTGAATAAGTATCTTCAAACAGACGCCCCAAAAATGTCTCAATGAGAAGGCAAGTGTGGTGGTATACATCTGTAATCCAAGCAACTAACAGGCTGAGACAGGAGGACAGCTAAACGTTTTAAGCCAGTCTGGAGACCAGCCTAAACCGCCTCAGAAAACACCAAAAAATGTCATATTGGGAAACACAGCTGCCATGCATTGCTGGTGCATTAATTCAGAACCACTTAATTACCCTCGAATGCTTTCCAGATAACAGGGAAATCATCGGGACCTACATTTTTAGGGACTCTGGTTTCATCTGTGGAGCTGCCAACACATGTACTTAACCTCAGTCTAAGGAGCCTGAATCTTAAACAGTGGTCATCCTAAGATCAGATGCTTTAATTCTGTGTATTTTAGACAAAGCCAACTGGTACCTGAAAGAAATGTCTGGTGGCAATTAACAAAGACTGAACACCACTGTCACATCACAGTTTTTTTTTACTGGGGAGAGGACAGCCAAAAAGGAGACACTATGTCTAAACATGATGCTTTATAAACTGTGCTGTTGGGGTACAAACCTCATATTTTTTTTTTTTTTTTCTTTTTGGTCTTTTTCCTTTTTATCAGTATCAGGGATCGAACTCAGGACTGCCTGCTTGCAAGGCAGGTGCTTATGCCGCTGAGCTAAATCTCCAGGCCCCGGTACAAACCTCATTAAAGACACTGGTAATTTTCCTTATGCTACCTTGGATTTTGGTTTACTACTTTTAAGAGCTACAATCTGCATGGCGGAATAGTTAGGGTATTTTGGCAGGCTTATATATGCACACACGTAAGTACAATATTAACATAACTATCTGGGAAAATTCATTTTAAAAACCACCTTTTCATAAATACATATTCATGTATTATTGTATTATTCATGTATAAATTCATTTTTCCTCTTACATATTTTTTCTCATCCATATTCTTAAATGTTGGTAATATTAGATAGTTGAGGCTTTTGGAGACAAACTCTTGCTATGTAACAAACCCAGGCTGGCCTCAGACTTGTGGTGCTCCTCCTGTCATAGCCTCCCACGTGCTGGGCTTCCAGGTGTGCGCCACCATGCCTGGTTTATATGGTATCTCTAAATCACTTAACAGGGAACATTTTCATAGCTCCAACTGATTAAAAAGGATGAAGGAATCTCCCTTCCACTGGTGTATCTCCTTTGCACTCCTTTCCCTTCCAATAAATATTGGCTTAGGAAGATTCCCCGTTTGTACTATATTAAATGTCTTGGTACACATTCCTTAATGAAAATAAAAGTATTCTGCAGCCAATCAAAAGTTTTTCCTCCAAGTAAGCATTACTTCATAAATCAAGTACTCTGAACTTTGATCATGCTTTCGCTACACTACCTGAGTTTACCTCCTTGTCTTGCTGCTTCTGTCCAGCCTGTGACCCCCATAAACTCCTGCATTGTGATGTTGCCACTAAGGCTAGAAGCCATGAAACAGATCAATTTCTACAGTACTTATTGAAAAATCTCAAGCTCAGAATTAATTTTCTTTTCTCAATATAAAGGTTATTCTAAAATGCATTAATTAGAACTTTTTTTTATCAATATTATAGAATTATAAACTTTCATCTGATTTGAAACATTCACATTGCCTTATAGTGATTTCAAGTTTTTCCAGGGGGAGCAGGGACCAGGGAAAGCGTACTACACACACACACACACACTCACTCACTCTCTCTTTCATTTCCCAGATACTAGACTCAGCTGTCAGACATCAGGTTATTAACACCTAATCTTCTTATTAACAAGGTAATATAAAGGCATCTGCAGTAGAGGATATACAAGATATATATAAGCAGGGAAAAATCAATTCATTAGTTGTTTGAAAATGTATGTAACCTGAGTACATGGCTGCTCAAACGCTGTAATTTTAAATTATTTGGGTAAAACTAACTATTCTAGAATCAGATTCTATGTGAACCTCATGACCAGTGAGTACAAATAACTATGCTCTTTGAATCTCATTCCAACAAATGACTATTTTTCAGAAGCCCGCAGAAATACAGGTAATTTAATCACAACCTGCACCCCCCTTTCTTGCAGCATGGCCTTTTAAGAGGGAGAAAATTAAGAGTAATGTGACAGAAAACCATACTTTACTCAAAGATGGTATGCAAATTAAATGAAAATTAACGAAGAGCCAAGGGAAAAGCAAGTATCTCAGTAGCTAATTAGGTTGATTGTAGTCTCTTTTCCATTATAGAAAAAAGGATGATACTGGATCTTTAATGGGTACTGAACTTTAATGGAAGAACTGCAGTAATTTTTTCTCATGGTCTAATTGTTTTAAGAAACTGTATGTAAATGTAAGTGTTAAAAATCAACTGAATAGTTTGGATCAATACATTTATTTTCCAGTTGCTCAAAATGATTATGATTGCTCAAAGTGATTATGTAAGTCCAGGAACTCAGCAATTCTAGGTCAGACCTAAAGATAAGCCAGACATGAATGTAACATGGCTCTTAAACCTTGCATGAGCCCCTGACATTACTGCCCATTTCTACTCCCTTCACAAAAAGCGTTTCTTCTTACACAGCTTTTGCCAGTAAGTTTTCAACTTTTAATTTTCTGCTGAAAATTATCTCCTGAAACAAAAAGTAACTTCTCCAGTGTCATTCCTTTCATGGATATCCTCTTTAAACCAAAGTGGAAAATCTCATTATACGACTTCTTATATCACAGATGAAGTATCTGAATCCATTTAAGGTTTCCCATCTTAAGCCAGACAGCAGCAAGTCATCTTATTCCTTAGGGGAAAATACTGTATGGCTCTGCTAGCCAGAGCTAACACCAATTCTGTACACATTTCCAGATACACAGTAATGACAAGACAATCCACAATTCATGGTACATATGACCTTTGTTCTGACAAAAATAGGAAACATACGCAAGACCAAATGTGTTGAAAACAACAGTAATGAGTTATGTACGTGTTATATGATTATGAAATGGAAACCAAATTGAACAGATTACTCAACCACAAATTTAGAGGCTAGCTTAAAAAAATAAAAATGTCTTTTCAAAAAATTCACCCAAAATGATTTCAAATTTTATTTATAATTTGTTAAGCTTTCTAATAAATACAACATGTTTTATGAAGCCCTGTGAATTTCCATAATGTTGTATGACTGTAAAGGTTCCTGGGACAATGAATTTACAAAGACACCTGATTTCTAATGAGTATGAATTAATAAATTTTATTTGAACTTAATGAACCCATCCATGTTAGACTGGACATGCATGCTGTCTCCACTGGGGAGTTTCACTGGAATACCATCCTTAAAGGTCATCCTGGGACATCGCCTAACAGGTGAAAGTGCTCTGATAAGAGACCTTTTGGCAATTCCGTCACAAAACCCCACTGGATGTTCGCCTCCCACCCCTCTCTACTGAAAACTACTCTCACAGAGATTAGATTTCAATGCCCACCCCTGGCATGATACAAATGGCAGCAGACAAAAAACAATGTTTAAAAAAAAACCAAATAAAAGGCTGTACACAAGAACTTATGTTTATTGCAAACAAACAAACAAAAAAGAGAGAAGGAAAGAAAGAAAATGGTCAGAAAAGCACAACATGTAAGGTTAAGAATTTAAAAACGTCTTACATTCTGCCCTAATGGCAGCATAATTAATAGCAACAAACGGACGTCTTGCTGCCTGCCGCAACCGGAGGGTATTTTTGCAGACCTGACGAGCAAATTTTGTGAAATAAGTGGTGTGGAGGAAGAAAGCTTGGCGAGTCTTCACCGCAGACTTTGGGCTCCCAGTGTTTCGGACCGGCATTCCCTGCATGGCCTGCCGGGACAGGTGACTTCTAACTCGGGCATCCTGCAGAACCACAAACCAACAAATGTTTACAGAAGAGAACTTGTCCAAACACTGCCATTTGCATCATATACCCACAAAAGTCTGATTTTTAAATCAATCACTGAGGCATCTATACCCTAGGACCCCAGTCCTAAAAAGTCATTTAAAAGTGCGCACTTTCGGGCAGGGAACTTAGCTCTGCAGCACAAGCACCTGTCTGGCAAGCACAGGGTCATGAATTCAATTCCCGATACAACAACAACAAAAATATGTGCTTTTGGGAGAAATATGAGCACAACAGAGGGGAGTGGGATCGAGATGTAATACAACAATCCAAAATCATATATATGATAGTAGTAACTTACAAAGGGGTTAGATTCTTTATCATTAAGGAGTCCTGAGATCACATTAGCACTGAAAAAGAACAGTCCACCGTCGGTGAACACAGGTGTTTGTCATCTTCAATCTACAACGATTTTACCAAAATCATGTTTCAACTACTGCTCACCTCAAAATTGAGTCCAATACCTTCCTGCCCTTCCACAACAGCCAGGCAGACAGAAAATGTTCAATTTGTGTTTACTACTTTACGTAAGACGTTTTCAACAGTATCTAAAGGTTACAAACTGTTTTCCACAGCAATTAAAACATATTTTGTAAATCTCTACTTATGCTAATACCACCCACACGCATTATTCTTTTGTCTGAGCAATCAGACAAGATCATATTTTGAATACCTCAAAGAAAACTGATTTTTTCCTTGTTCCCCTCTCTCTCCTTGTTCCACCCACCCTGAATAATGTAACACTATGTTTACCTAAAAAAGTAGCATTGTTTATTTTTAAACTCTCCTATACAGTACTTCTTCTCTTTCCAAGGAATGAGCCAACTATTGAAAAACATGATGTTTTCCAGGACTAAAACCTACTGTGGTATACCTCTGCAGATGGGCTGGGAGATAACTTCTCCTCTTCTGATTGGGTGGGCATTTTTAGGCCTCCATATTTTTTCCAATACAGCCAACAAGTTGCACACAATCTACACTGCATGTTAGGTGGGCCCCAAGAATACCACTGGTGAGACTGTGATGCTAAAGACAGGAGAAAAAAAAAAAAAAAAAGATACTAAGAATTTTGCAACATCAATAGAAATAGGATCTAATATCTCAAAAATATTCCAAAGCTACTCTTCATTTACAATGTTAACTTTTCTTTCACTAGTTTATAAGTCAAACATGAAAACAACATATACATGTACTTTTCACTACTCAGAATTCAATAAAGCACAGATTTCTACTATGTATTGATTGCCTATACCATTTAACAGAGGCTAGTTGAAGCATCTTATATTACACATTGTTCGGCTGAGTTTTTGTTCTATTATTTTTTTTTAAACATTCCATACTTTTTTTTTCCTTTTTTATTTTTATTGGTACTGGGGATCGAACTCATGACTGCCTGCTTGCAAGGCAGGTACTTATGCCACTGAGCTAAATCCCCAGCCCCTTGTTCCTATTGTTTAAAAATGCTTTAATTACATATCTGGAAATAAGTTTTCAGATGTTATTATTATGATCTTGGGGAGGAGAGAAAAGTCTTCACTATGTAGCCCAGGCTGGCCTTGAACTCAGCAATCCTTCCTCAGCCTCCTGTTGGGATTACCAGACACATACCACTACATCAGACAAATTATCATGATTAATATTAGTATTAAAGGGTAAATCCAAGTTCCCACACCAAGCTCAGAAGGTACCTTACGGCTTACTTGAGGGGCTCCATTTATAAAAGCAAGACTCTAATAGAAATTGTAGTCTATTTGCCATTGCTTCATTTTAATTAAGACAAAATATTGAATTTCTTCCTAGGAAATCAAAATGTCTTTCAACAATATAAATCCATATCAAGTGAGCATGTCAGCTGATATCACAACACATTTTAAGACCCAATCACAGCCGATTTATTGATTGGTTAAACACTGTAAGCCTGTATTTGGTCTGCTTCACAATTTAAACTCCTGTCACGTAGCACTAAAAACACTTACCACGAGACTGAAATTTAACACAGAAAACACTGGTGCTGAAACAGTAAATTAATGAAGTGCATAAAAACCATTGAAACTGCAATTGCCTTGGAAGTTTTCCTCTGAACAGTACACTGAAGGCATCAACTAACACCTCCAGAACCAATGTTAACAAGAGCAAAAGCTTGGACTGGCCTGTGGGAACACTTGCCTAATGGGGGGTGGGGGGTGTGTGCTCGTGCACATAGGGTCAAGGAGAGGAGAAGCAGCGGGAGACAGAAAGGACAGGAAACAGACAGGCACAGTTCAGTGAGCGTTATGTGCAAGGCCTTGGCTTAGGCCCTCAGCCCCTCCCCACAGAAAGACTGCAAAAATACAGTGACCACTGCATTTAATGCTTAGTTTCCTGAGAATATATGCACTCGCTGTTATGCTATTTTGGGAGAATTTCTTATAAATAGAAACCTAGATATTTTCTTCTTATTTAAAATAAGTCAAAATTATTTTTTAAAGAAGTTTTTTGAGTCAGGGTCTCATTGTATGGCAACCCACCTGCCCACAAAAGGAACATCATTTGACAAGAAAATTATACTTTTAAAAAATTTTTATGTGTGTATTATATTAAAATATTTTGATAGAAATACTTGGATAAAAATATAAAATCACTTGTTATACACATAAATGTCAGTAATTATTTGAAGTAATACATATAAGTGGGAAAGGCTTGACGGTTAAAAAAAAAAATGAAACAGATTATTAGATGTGGTTGTGCACACCTATAGTCCCAACTACATAGGAGGATGAGGCAGGAGGACAGTGTGAGCCCAGGGATACAGGGTCACCGTGTGACCATAACAAGATCTTGTCTCAAAAATGATTAAACTACTACCGTTTATCTTCCGGGTTCTTTTTTTAAACTTTCATTGCAATATACATGCACATCAAAATACAAAATTCCCAACTCAAAGACACTTATGATGCTACTTCATGTAAAATCTACACCAGAAGAATCTAGTTTTTTCTGGTGCTCCCATGGTGCAAAAAATGATTAGACATGTCCCAAAGTCCCTTTCTATTATAGTCAGGAATCTGTCCAGCTCACACGTTCCTTGGCACTGAGAGAATTATGTGATTAGGTTTTTAAAGTCTTTTCTACAGCTGATGCCTCGTATAGTGTACAGAGCAGTCATGAAACCCCATGCTTCTATGTCAATAAGGACAGTAAGCAGGCAATTCTAGGTTTCTACCTCCAAAAGGCTGCTGAAAGCCAAAGACTGAGCACAGCAAACTTGTAGTAAACACTAGGTGCCTTTTTCCCCACTCCAGGCCACCTTGATATACAAGATGTCACCCATGTCCTATTAAGAGATTATACTCTTGCTTCAGGTTGGTTGGCTGGCCTGTCATTCATTCATTTACTGGCAACAGGGTCTGCTATATAGTCCAAGCGGCCCTTGAACTCACAGCAATCTTTCTGCCTCAGCTTCCTCTCCCAAGTGCTAGGATTACAAGTGTGTACCACCACACCTGGCTGTTGCTCGAAATTTAAATGAACACACCAATTACCCCACTTACCACCCAAAGAACATATAACACAATACTGCCAGCAGAGATAAATACAAACAGGCCCTGAGGCCAAAGGAAGTATCACAGAGCAGCACCTCCCAAACCGGTGTCCTGAGGATTATAAACAGCACTTTATTTATATACATGCCGTTTCTACAGAATTATGGGGCATCTTTGCCAAAGGACCTAGAGAAACTCCTAAAGGACATTTAGTATGCATCTCAGGACTGCGGTTTAGGCAAAGCTAATACAACTCTGCAAACTCTGTTTAGCAAACACTGCCATCAAATACTCAACAAACACAGAGGCCCAAGAAGAAAATCAAAAGAAACTCTAGGCCTCTTCCTAGTACATATAGAGTAAGTCAGTGAAAGGGCCTCTGTTCCTTACAGAAGCAGGAATGGGCGCCTACTCACTCCAAAGAAACACTGCCCAGCCTCTATGCTGTTCATTCGGAGCACACAGTTCCGAGGCTGCGCGGCATCCCACCCCACAGTGCAGGAGTGGTCCCTGCAGGTTAACACAGGACAGGCCTCAGAGGGAAGGGACAAAGCCTGCTGAAGCAAACTTACCATAGCAGCTCTCACAGGCGCGACCTAACAGGGGATTCTGGGGCTGGAACGTGCTCCCCACAGCTCCATTCACAGTGCCAGGCTTGCCATTGTTGGTGGATATTTGGTTGGGATTTGGTTTGCTGCTTTCAATGAAACGTAAAGTGAGGTGATAAAAAATGTTTTGTATAACAAGACAAAAAGCTCAGTATCTCCTTACTAATTTACTTTAGCTAAACAGAAATACACTGCTAAAAACAAGGTGTTGAAATGAACCCATTCCAGTTTACACAACAAAGCGATATAATAAACAGTCTCTTGTGCCTGATCCTTTCCCAGTAAAAGCAGCACCTCTTGTCTATACAAATGCACTTAAAAGACCATCCTTGGAGGCTTCCGAAACATGCAAATTATTAGGATTCACCGCTCATAAATTCTTAAGAAATAACAGTTTGGCTCAAATAACGAGCTGAAGACAGCATCGTGTAACTGCAGCAATCAAGGCGCTCTCCATTCCTGCCGCTGCCTCTAAAGCTGCCCTGGACGGAGCAGTGTCCACAGCACGTGGGGCGCCCTAACGCCTTTTTCTGCAGCCCGGTTAGCACTGCAGAGATCCTGATCCCCTTTCCTATTCCTAGGACAATTCCCAGTGTGTTTCAATTTCTATGAAGAATATTAAAGAGCACTTAAAATTAGAAAAATCAGTAATTTTGAGATTTAAACCTTTTAACAAAATCATTTGTAAGAGTAAAAGGAGGCATCAAAAGGCTATACGCAAATTTCCTAGACAGCAAGTCAACATAATCACTAATTCTTCACAACTATACAGTTCAGACACATTCAAATACAGCTAACTCCCTGTGGATAAGCCAGGACCAAGAACACTACACAGGTGCACATGGCATGCATAGTTTATTCAGCACCTATCTATTCAGTGTCTAGTATACAAAAGTCTTTGGCTTTAAGGAGCTTCATTCTAAACAATCTTCCATGGGTATTTTCTAGACAGAAAAACTAACTGGCAAATTTAGAAATTAATACTGAGTGAACAAATGGAGATTATGCACATATGCAAACTATGTTCTGTCTTTCGATGGCCACTGATGCAATGCGATGTCTCAACCATCAAGACACCTGGAATCTCAACAGAATGGGCTCGGGGATTTCTTTTCCATGATGTGACTTAACAATCAAAGCCTGGTGTGTAGACTGGTTTGCCTGAGAACACACACCTTACTTAACATTTCCTTTCAGCACTCTCTCTTAACTCTCAGGTGACGCCCCACCCCACCTCCAGGAGTCATCCTAACTTTTGGGTGTACCAAGTGCCTATTTTGTAAGTGAGAGCTGTACTTTACACCTTTAACTTTTGTCAGCAATGCCTTTTACATTTTTTATTTTTCAGTGCTGGGGATCAAATCAGGGATTCACAAATGCTAATTTTCCACAATTGCTACCACTGCACTATAGCCCCAGTATGTTTTTAAAAAATATTAAATGAGACAGATGTTTTCTCTTAGTTTTCAGCTAAAAATATACAAAATGAAAAATGAGTGGTTTAGAACAATCAAGTTTTCCAACGATACATATCTATTTAAACTTTTAAAAAATATTATACGCCAGACATGGAGGCACATGCCTGTATTCTCATCTACTCAGGAGGCTAAGGCACAAGGATCACAAGTCTGAGGCCTGTCTGGGCCACTTAGCAACATCTTGTCTCAAAATTTTAAAAGATTTTAAAGGGGTAGATAGGGATGTAGTAGGAAACTGCCAGGCTCAAAAAGCTAGCAGAAGAAAATCATTTTTTGTTTCAGAAACAATTTGGAAATACAACAAAGACCTCAGACCTTTATCCAATTCAGTAACTCAGCTGCGTAGTTTTGAACAATTTATATGACTTACATATACTTTTTAGAAGTAGGATCTCTAAAAATAATTCTTAAGTTAGGGATTGGAAAACTTCTGTAAGGGGCAGAGAGTTCAGTATTTTAAGTTGTGTGGGTAATACAATTTCTCTTAATTCTGCCATTGTAGCCTTATATTAGACAAAGACAATGCAAAAATGAACAAGTACATCTATGCTATTTACAAAAATAGATGCTAGCTTAAAAATTTGGCCCACAGGGCTGGGGATTCAGCGGCATAAGCACCTGCCTGGCAAGCACGCAGTTATGAGTTCGATCCTTGGTACCAAAAAAAAAAAAAAAGATTTGGCCCATAGACTATACAATTAGATCAAGGCACTAAAGTCAATGTAAAGTTATTGTGTATGCAATGCAATGCAATGCAATGCAGTGTAAATGGGTTTGCATGGTCAAAAATGGTCTTGTGATATAGAAAGCGTAGTGAGACGTAAGTTGCTATGTTTCTGAAATTTTAACAAATGAGTTCCAATGGTAAATTCTTTGGAGAATGTCAATTTCGTACACAGTTAAATAAAATATATAATTTAAATGGAATTAAAAATCATTGCAGAAGGGATGTAATTATGGGCCAAATAAATTATGTATTTTTAAAAAGTAAACATGTTACTTCCATTGAGGTAAAAAATTAATATGAAAGATCATAAGTCATTTCCATAAGTCATCTTATATGTAAAAAACATGTACTATACAATATACAAGAATCCAGTAAACAAGAGTATATTTAAAAAACTGTATTCAGGTCTAAGAATGAAAAAAACTCTTGGAACAACAACAACAAAAAGTTTATAATAGGCGGGGTATGGTGGTGCACACCCGTAATCCTAGCACTTGGGAGGCTGAGGCAGGATCATCACCATGAGTCCGAGACCAGCTTGGATTACACAGTGAGTTGAACGTCAGCTAAACTACACAGTGAGCTTCTGTCCCCTGCCCCCCACAAAAGTTTGTAGTAAATTTCATTTTAATCCCAAAAGTCTAGGATAGTACTATACACACAAGTGTTCAATAAATAAAATTTTACCTAGACAAAGGAATGAGCAAATCCCAAAGATCTCAACAAAGGGGTACAGTAATTCAATTAAAGCACAGTAAACAAAAACTGGCACTCATTTTGATATGACAATGATTTGTAAGCTCAAAGGGTAATAGAATACTAGGCACCTAAAACACACTGAATCCCATGCATTATTTATTAAACATTCACAATAAGTATGGTTCTAATTGGTAAATCAGACAAGACAATGAGGTAAAAACCAAATAATGTGAACAACATACCACCTCGAAGTAGCAATACACACTTTGTAAGGAAAATTCCTTCTATAACGTAGAAGTATCAAAAGGTGCTAACTATGAAACACATTTACTTCAAATAATGTAATTAGCCCCACAGGTTAGGGCTCTGTGTTTTGTTTTGTTTGAGACAGGGTCTTTTTATATGGTTCAGGCTGGCCTGGATTCACTATGTAGCCAAAGCTGGACTCAAACTCTCAGCAATCCTCCTGCCTCAGCCTCCTGAGGCACCACCACACACAGATTAGTTTTCTGATACTTCCCTGAATCCTTTGTAAAGTACATGGCACTCTTTTATCTCTAGCTTCATGTTAATCTGCTATGGTTCTCTCGGTCATTTCTTTTCCTTTTAAAAAATCTATACAGTTGTATAAAAGAAACAGAAAGGCTCCTAATTTTAGGACAAGAAAGTAATATACACAAAGAAATTCAAATTTACCTGAAACTGAACAAAATGACATGTTTTATCATAACAGAATTAAGACCAGGTAAATATCATAAAAGATGTCAGTTACTTACTACGTTGGGATATATACTTGTTTCAGTTTACTCTCAGCTTCTGCAGCTTTTAGCCGTTTCTAATTCAAAAGATGAAGGAAATATTTCATATGCGGTCATTAGTTATTACCACTGCATTGTCTTAAAAACTTCACAATAAATATTAAAGCACACTTTAAAACAAGCTTCTTTCATCATATGCATATCATTAAGCTATAGTAACCTGTGAGAAAAATCACTGGATTCTGGGATACAGAACTGTAAATATTAACAATTTAAACATAGACTTTTGAAACAGAGCAATAAATAGTGCATTCCCCATTCCTCAATGGGTAAGTAAAAAGGAACTTTTTTCATGTTACAGACTGAACAGGGGCCTTTACACACTAATAAGCATGTACTCTACCACTGAGCAATACTTGTGGTCCCAACCAGACCTCTAGAATTCACCCTTTTACGTTTACAAATTTAGATTCTACTTTCTAACTCGCTTTTCTAAAAGAAAAAAAGCACAAAATCTTTGCTTTTAGACAAATATTCAGAGAAAATCAGTTTCTAAACCAAACAAGGGAAAGAGACTTACTGTATGTAAAGCTAAGCAAGCCTTTATCTTTAAATGTGGGGAGGGAAGTAGTCACTACATGGCTGAAGCTAGTTAACCAACGGCAGGGAAAGGAATGGGAAAGGGACGCTGTTCAACACAGTGACAAATGGGGAAGGAAAATAAGAGAAGGTCAGGGTCCAACAGTAAAACAAAACAGACGTAAGGCTATTCTCCATTTTCCCAACTGAAGAAAAGAAAACACTTACGGATAGCTTGAAATTTTTAGAACAGAGCTGAAATCTCAGGACTATTTTTTTCTAAGTACTTTCAACCATTGTTGATGTCACTGTCTCCACCATTAGGGGACTTGATTAAGTAACACAAGTTTCCAGATTACATCACTTTCTCTTCTAACCAACTTGTTCAAACAAGCACTTTTCTGAATTATATATGATGTTGACAGTAGAAACTGCTCCATGGGCAACAGATATTTATTCATTTTCATGACCTTGAGCAACTCATTATAGTACCTTCTAAAGTGATCCTTAAAATGTATTTGTTCAATATCCAGTATGTGTCACTGTGTGACCTACATAACTTACGAAAAATAATGTCTGTGTTAAATCTATTTGCCCTTCTTAATCAGTTCTGACAAGTGGTTGTAAGAATATAAAGCTGTGGCCATTTTAGGGAAATGGGATTTTTTTCCCAAAGGTAATATTATTCAAAGAAAGTAACTGAGTTACTTGGATTTAGAACATTTGGGAGGAACTCAGAATTTAAATGATTCCCTACTTTTAAATAATCTTGGAAAAGAATCCTAAGTATAGTAGCAAAGAATCAAACTAGTCAAACTAAAATAAAAACAAACTCAGGATGTTATCCACACAAATGTCACAGAAGGAGGGTTCAGAAGATACTAATAAATATCTCAAAGTATAAGGCTGATGACATTATCTCAATTTCTGATACTTCATCAAACAGTTTGTTCAAGAGGCTTGTGGCATCACCACTTCTCTGATAATTCCTACCAACTACACTCGCAAACAGATGAAGAACCAGTTAAACGGAAGGAAAATAATGCCTCTTTAGTGGTATGTCTGTGTCTCTCTGAAAAATACTTAATCAAAATAAATGCTAGATTCAAGGACATATTAAGATGAAACTTTAAAAAAGAATATCCTTGAGATATGGAATCATGTAGTTTAAACAGTCTAGAAAAGATAAAGCAAACTAAGTTAGAATTAGTGCACTGCTAAGAAACATTAAAATAAGCAAAGTTCAATGCACGCACACTAGTGACAACGAAAACATTACCTGCTGCACATATCTGTCAGTAGTTTTCCACATGTAATAATATTCGATGATGCTAGTCAAAGATTTCCAAGGGAGCTGAAAGAATATTTAACATGATAATGAAAATAATATTGTATAGAAAGTGCTTTTCTTTAAAGTCATGTAAGTCAAATATTCATACTGAAGACACTATAGAAAGATTTATTCAGAAAAAATGTCTTGCAAATATCAAAATTCTTACCAAAAGGTGCCCTGGACAAGAAAGTTCTAATCAGGAAGAGACTCAATATATTCTGTCTTTCATCAATTCAATTTAAAGTTGTAGACATGATAACTGATAATATTCATGTTTAGAAAAGGGCTCGGGCTACAAGGGAGGCTGCAGCAGAGTTTTAGAAATGCTATTCAATGGCTTTCCCCTGAGCTACTTTAACTTCCCAGGATGACCGCCAAATAAGTGGCTTCTGGCTTCTAGCATATTTCTCATTCTTTTCAAAACCACTCTATTTTGTCTTATTTTGCTATAAATAAAACAAAAAGGTAAGTCTCTCAAAAAGAACACAGCCAAGTGTGTTAGATAACATTAGAAAATTATTAAGCTTGCTATGATTGTTTTCCATGAGCATTCAAAAATGGCCAAATGGGGGCTGGGGATTTAGCTCAGCGGCATAAGTACCTGCCTTGGAAGCAGACAGTCGTGGGTTCAATCCCTGGTACCGATAAAAAGGAAAAAGACCAAAAAAATAAATAAATAAATAAATAAAAAAATAAAAAATGGCCAAATGAAATCCTATTCATGAGCTCTGCAACTAAAGAATACATTCAATATGCCTCCTCAAAAAGGGAGATCTGTTAGCTACCCAAGATGCAAGAGGGCAGATCAGACTTTCCTGATGACATCAATGGCAGATAAAGGAAGCCTTGAGCGGCGGCAGCAGGCTTTACAGGCTCCGTCCTCCACCCTCCGCTAAGCTTCTCCACCACCCTGGGAGGCCTGGAGAGGTAGATAGTACTTCCCCTACTCCTTACAGCAGGTGTTTGCTAGTGGCCACCTGGATAGGGTGCACGCTGAATCTCTCACATTCCAACTGAACTTAGCTGTTTGGTCTGAAGAGAAACAGATGGATTTTTTAGAAAAAAATTGTTTTTAAGCTTAATTGGGTGGCAACTCCAACAGTAGCTACAAATGTGGTCACCCCACAGGACCACAACAGTATAACCATTAACTCTGAACTGCAGGTAAAGCAAACAGTTTTTGTTATGTTTTGTTACTGGTACCAGAAATCAAACTCACGACCCTGCACTTGCCAAGCAGGCACTTATACCACTGAGCTACATCCCCGGCTGGTTTGCTTTTCAAACCCAATGTGTCCATTTGATAGGGTGCAGCAAGACCTGACAGGATCAGTCAAGGCACAGTTTGCTAAGGGATTTTAAGCAAGCTGAGATGCTACTACCTATTCTTCTTCTGAGAAATAGGCCCTGATGTACACTTTCCTGGAAACCTGAGAGAAGGAAGAGCCTGATGACCCTGTAAAAACTTTACTGTGAACTTTGTATTATCCAGTCCAGAGAGTTCCATCAGCTGTGCCTACCAGCAGCACTTCATCACTGGGGAGGTGCGGCAGGCTGTGGCAGCTGCACACCTCAAGCGTGATCCTGATGCAGAACCACTTCTCCTTAAGTCCTCACCGCCAGCATCACAGGAGTTCCCTGCGACACAGCCACTGAGCAGGGAAAAATCTCAGTGTGGCTGTTGGTTGTGCATGATACACTTGGTACCTGCTAGAATTCTACTGCTGCAGCATTTCAGCCTCACGCAGTAGTGGCCCTGTGGCACAGTGAAGGAGGGGGATCCTTTGGGTTAGAACTCTAAGGTGAACATCTGGTTTACTACTTTTAATGGAAGGCAAGATGGCCTCTTAAAATTATAGTCAAAAGCACTCTGGCCAATATAAAACTGATAAGGAACAGCCATTCTAATAACAGATCCTAGAAATGTAGCTCAGACTGACAAGAGTCAAGGTGGAGCAAAACCAAGCCCAACTGGTGGTAGAGAACAGATGCTGTGGTGGGAATTCTGCTGTCACAGGCCACCGCGGGGTTAGACAGCACCTTTGCTTCACTGCTTCTGGCTGTGAAGTATCCAAACCTGGATCATGGCTTCCCCACTAAGTTCTCTTATGCTTCTAGCTCCAAGCAACACATTTTGTTCTGCAAACTAGAGCAGTCAAACAGATTCTAGTATCTCCAATCATGGTTTGTTTAGGACCTCCTCCCAGAATGTTAATTAGCTCACTTTCCTATATTGTAAAGGCGAAAGCTGTTGTCATTTATTCCTGCTAATCAGATACATGTGTCCAGACCCAAATTCAAAACTGAACTAAGCATGGTGGGGCTGGCAATGCCATTCAGTTGGCAGAGCAGTTTCCCACATATTCAAGGCCCTAGGTTCAATTCTCAACAATTTCAACAACAAAATTGTCTGAGAAAGAAAGACCATAATCTATAGTCACAACAGATGCATAAAATATTTTACAAAACTCAACATGCACTCTTACGTAATAAAAACTCTTAGAAAACTACAGTAGAAGGGAATTTCTTCATCTCATATAGAAGACCCATCCAAAAATGGGTCTCATCCCTGACATTAAAGAGAAAAATAAACTGGACTTCGAGTGTGTGCTGGTAATCGAGCCCAGGACCTCATATGTGCCTCTCAATGCTGTCTTCTTTTTTTTCCCAACATTTTATAGTATCAAATACACATCGTATTCAAATGGGAAAATCAAGACACTGGAATTGGAAACAATGTTTATTTCTGAGTAAGTGTGGTGACACAAAACTGACCACTGTGATATAGTTGTTTAGGGCGGCAGTGAAGTTCAACTACTGGGGAGTTAGGCATGGAGAGTTTATTTTACACATACTTGCTACCCATTTCTAGAGAAAATACTTACTAAAATCTCTGAGCAGTACAGGGCCCCAACACCACCATGTCCGTGTGATGACACTGTAGGCTGTATGCATGTGTTTTTCATGCTCTACGGAAGTATATACAATACTTTCAAAAGTGGTGAAACCAGTTTTGGTGTTGTATGCCTGTAATCCCACATAGGGCAACTCAGCGACTTAGCAAAACCCTATCTCAAAATATAAAATTAAAAAGGGGGTTAGGAATGTAGCTCATCAGGAAGGCTACAGGTTCAATGCCCAATATTCTCAAAAAAGGGGAGGCATGGTGGCACATGCATGTAATGCCAGAACTGCAGGAAGCTGAGCCAGAAAGATTACAAGTCCAGCTGCGACAATTTAATTACTGAATGACACTCTGAGGTGTTAGGAATACAGCACTCGGTACAAAGGTCCTGGGTTTAATCCTGGATATCAAAATGAATGAGTAACAACCCTAAAAATAGCCACTACTACAAATAAACACCAAAACTCTTAGAGCAGTTCACCTCTTGACATTCTTTTTCATGAATATTTGGGTATTATTTTTTGTTAGATGCATGATCTAACAAAATTCTCACATGGTATATGTAAGTTTGCATGGAAAGCATAATGAAAAATTAAGTACTAGAGGACATGAATAAAAGACTTTAGACGAGCCGGGCATGTTGGCTCATGTCTGTAATCCCAGCACTCGGGAGGCTGAGGCAGGAGGATCGTTGTGAGTTCGAGACCAGCCTGGGCTACAAAGTGAGCTCAAGGCCAGCCTGAACTGCATAGAGACACCTTGTCTCAAAAAAGAAAGAAAGAAACACAACCTTAAGACAGTGGCCGGGGATTTAGCTCAGTGGCATCAGTGCCTATCTGGCAAGCAGAAGGTCATGTGTTTGATCTCTGGTACAAAAAAGAAAAGACAGGCCTTCTAAAAATGACTCTGTACATCTTACTGCAGGATTGGCTAATGAACAACGCTGCCACCAATGTTGTGACCAGAAACCTGACTATTTAACTGGCTCCAAGATACTCTGCCTCTGCACGATCCCTACAGGCTTGACACTTTCTAAAGCAGATCTCACTCTCTCTCTCTCTGTCTCTCTCTCGCCACTACATCTATGGCACAACCCAAATTATATCCATAATCTTAGATCCAAGGGAGTCTGGGAAATGCAGATTATAACACAGATGCTTCCCTAGAATGTGGTTAGTACATGTGGTTGATAAAGCCAAACTACTTTACATTTGCTGTATTTTGGAAGTTGGAATTGGCCACCAGAGTCAAAAATCTCAAAACTTTTTGTCAGATCATAAAGGTAACCAAAAATTACATTCATTTTCATATAGTAATTTTATTTTGTGACAGTATAAGCCTCTATGTACAAAAATATTGCACCAATACAGTGTTCAGATTCCCTTCCTAGTCCTCTATTAGACACCTGGGAATGGGCCCCAAGTCTTGTACCTGTTTTGACTCTGCCACTGACTCTTCTCTACCTTTATCTTCAGAGATCGAACTGAAACACCAGGTATTCGGGTAAGCCTCTCTTTACTGGCATAACTGCTCCTCCAATACTCCCAGAACAGGTTATCTGATAGGAATGCACTCCATTTTATTTGGCTGTACACTTTTCAATCTCTTAGCCTTGATTAATTCGCCGAAGGCAGAATCATATTCAATTCCTACTGCATGCATTCTGGCTCCATAAGGGCCTGGCATCTTAAAGATGCTGAATAAACAACATCTGTTGAACTAAACTAAGTTCAAAATGACTGTTACAACACAAAATGAGAGTTTTATATACAGCTGGTACAACAAGAAGGGAATTTATTTATTTATTTATCCCTTTAGAGACACGGTCATGAGGGAGTCTAGACTGGCCTCAAATTCATGGCATTCCTCCTGCCTCAGGCTCCCAATTGCTGGAATTACAGGCATGCACTACTACACCTCATTGGAAAAGGAGTTTCACCTAACATTTCTCATCTTCTATTCCTTTTTCAGATCTGTAGATTGTGTGTGTGTGTGTTCCACTTTTTGAGATAGTGTTTCACTATGCAGTTCAAAATGGCCTTCAATTCACTTTGTAACCCTGGCTGGCCTCGAATTCACTGTGATCCTCTTGCCTCAGCCTCTCAAATGCTGGGATTACAGGTGTGTAGCACCACGTCTGGCTAGATTTTGTTCTTCAGAGAAATTTTGCTCTTGCAATTTTCATGTAGTTATGTAGCTCCACTATATGAATAACTGCTATATTAATAACTTTGTACTGTTATGATATTCAGACCATCTGAAGCTAAACACCACTAATGCATTTAAATTCTCAGGTGCACATGACAAATTTAAAGCATGGCATATAACTGTTTGGGTATGAATGAGTTATGCCAGAACAAATGTCAGTGACACTAACAGCTTTAGTTACTGTGCTTAGAATTCAATGTATCAACCCATATTGATACGTAATAATTTTGCTTCATAAACAGTTCAGGAGTGATAACAGCACATAAAAGGCAGGATAGTGGCTCACATCAAACACAAAAGAATCTTGTAGAAAGACTGTATTTCCATAATTTAAAATAAAAGGTAGCTTCTATGAAAAGCTACTTAAAATCTTTATAACAAAATCTTCCCTTATTTCAAAGAGCTTCACTAGAGAGAGTAAGTCCATAAATACAAAGACAAAAGGAAGTACATAATATAGCAGGCAGAATTACGTAGAATTTAAAATGTAAAATGAAGCTATCAGGTCTCAAGTGCCCTCAACACACACAGTAAGTGTCAGAGTACATGGATAAACATACTGTGATTGGGACTATTAAATCTTTTTTTCTTTTTTTGTCTTTTTTGAGACGGGGTCTCTCTATGCAGTTCAGGCTGGCCTTGAGCTCAATTTGTAGCCCAGGCTGGTTTTGAACGTGCAATGATCCTCATATCTCAGTCTCCTGAGTGCTGGGATAACAGGCGTGAGCCACCACAGCTGGCTTTTGTGACTATTAAATCTTGATATGTCAGCTTCATTGGATCAAGAAAACACCTTGCAGATTAGTAAAGCACATTCCTGTGCATGTGTTTGCATAGGTCATAGAAGAGGAAACTCAGGACCCATACATAGCTTTGTTCCTCTCCAGTACCATTCTGCTCTGCTTTGTAGCAGGTAGCTGAGTTCCACCACACCCTTCCATCACAATGTTCTTACCTTGCAACCTGCTTCCCATGAACTGAATTCTCTTAGAATGTGAGCAAAATTAACTTTTCTTCCATTAAATTATGAGTGTTGGGTACTGTGTCCAGCAATGAGAAAGTTGATTAATACAAAATACCCATTCCAGAGATGTAGGTTTTTGCTGTAACCATTAGGTTTAGAAGCTTTTGGAACTGGTTTGTACAAGAATTTTGGAAAGATATAGGGATGCACACTAATGAAGCCTTAGAACACAGTAAGCAAAGCCTGATGAATAATTCCAGTCAAAACTCAGGAAACCAGAATCTTGACAGGAAAGAGGACAATACAGGGCAGGGTCAGGATGTTTCATGGGAGAAAAGACTTTATTGGCAATTATACTACAAATCATGTGTGCTACAATCTGGAAGAAAACGTTACTTGTATTTTGCCCATGTCCTGAGATTTTGTGAGACATGAAGATTAGGGCAATGGACTGATCCAGTACAGAAAATTCTCAAGCAGCCCAACATTCAAGTTGAGGCATGGATACTGCTGGCTACTTTTGGCCAGATTTATCATAAGAACTAAAGGCAAAAGGAAGAGCAGGTAATTATGAAAACCTTAAATTGTGGCCCCAAAGTAACCAGATTTAAGTAAAATCAAGGCCAAAAAGGTATGGTTGCTACAGAGATTAGCACCATTAAAAATAAATCAAGTACCTGCCGCAGGGCCAAGAAGAAAGATGCCTGGAGGGCACCTAAGAAATCAGCAAAATCCTGGCTGGGAATTTAGCTCAGCAGTGTAAGTGCCTGGCAAGTGTGAGGTCATGAATTTGATACTCCGTAACAAAAAAAAAAAGAAGAAGAAGAAGAAGAAGAAGAAGAAGAAGAAGAAGAAGAAGAAGAAGAAGAAGAAGAAGAAGAAGAAGGAAGAAGAAGGAAGAAGAAGGAAGAAGAAGGAAGAAGAAGGAAGAAGAAGGAAGAAGAAGGAAGAAGAAGGAAGAAGAAGGAAGAAGAAGGAAGAAGAAGGAAGAAGAAGGAAGAAGAAGGAAGAAGAAGGAAGAAGAAGGAAGAAGAAGGAAGAAGAAGGAAGAAGAAGGAAGAAGAAGGAAGAAGAAGGAAGAAGAAGGAAGAAGAAGGAAGAAGAAGGAAGAAGAAGGAAGAAGAAGGAAGAAGAAGGAAGAAGAAGGAAGAAGAAGGAAGAAGAAGAAGAAGAAGAAGAAGAAGAAGAAGAAGAAGAAGAAGAAGAAAGAAAGAAAGAAAGAAAGAAAGAAAGAAAGAAAGAAAGAAAGAAAGAAAGAAAGAAAAAGAAAAAACACAAACAATCTCAGCAAGATCTCACCCAGGAGTGCTAAAATGCCAACTTTTCATTTGAGAAGAGTCCCTGCAGTCCTGCTCAGAAAGCGCATCTTAGGGAATTGATTCCTTGGGATTCATTTCACTGTTCTTTGTCAACCAGGTCCCTACTGTATATCCATGATCCAAGGGACCTGCCTGCTGCTCTGCTGACAGCAGATCTCAGCATCAGTCATGAGATGCTGATTTTATTGGCATGTGGAATGTGACAGCTGTGGTATCCAAGAGGCTTCCACCCAGATTTCAGAATAAGGCCTAGCAGACCAGGCAAGAAGTATCTAAGAAGCCAGTAGTACTAGAAGTTATGAGAATATAGCCGAAGTGCAGACTTCGGAAATCAAAGATTCCAGGAATACAAAATATAAGAAAAGCAAAACTGCAGGCTGTACATGCAGTCAGAGGCGGGGACAAGCCTTGTGAGCTACAAGCAGCATCCTCAGAAGGATGGGATTGCTCACGCCTTTTGGAACTCATCTCACAAGGATGTGCCCTGATGCCAGATTCAGAGCTATATACAAGACTTAATGTGTGCCCACATGGATTTTGCTCTTCTTTTGGTCCTATTCTTTTCTATCCCCTCTACCTTCCTTACATAACTTGCTAAACAGTTTACTTTGAATCTTAGGGGAGAGTTGGACTTTTGAAAAGTTCTGGAACTACTGAGATGTTAAGAAAGGGACTACTGCATTTCCTGCTGTAAGCAGGATAGCTGTAATATGTTACTTGAAAATATAAGCTTGCTATTGTCTTTATTTGAAAATTAAGTATGGTTTAAGGTGAGATGAGGTGTGAATTGTGACCTCCTTATCAACTTTACTGGATGAAGAAATGCCTAGCACATTACTAATGTACAAGCCTGGGTATGTCCGTGTGGGTCACTGAGGCATTACCTTGGATATGCTGGCACTGATTCCCTTGCACAGCACCACCACCACACTTTTCTTTCTTTTTTTTTTTTTTGTCTTTTTCCTTTTTATCGGTACCAGGGATTGAACTCACGACTGCTTGCTTGCAAGGCAGGCGCTTATGCCACTGAGCTAAATCCCCAGCCCCACCACCACACCTTTCTACCAAGATGTCTCTGCCTTGGTGCCTACTACTAAACCCTTCTTTAAGCTCTGTCAGAAACAGTGTCCAGCAACAAGAAATTTAAGACAGTAGAAACCATTTCTCAATGTATGTATATCAAATAATTATATTGTACCCCTTGGACATAATTTTTTATTTTTTAATTATACTTCAATAAAGCTAAAATATAAAAAATTTTAAAGTAATAAAGTAAGTAGGATACTGTATAATCATCTGGAAGAGTCAAAGACCAACTCCAACCATAATGTAAATTTTGCTAATCTGCTTCAAGTGATCACTTTTCTATTACAAGTCTGCTTCAAATCTGGGTTCAATGATTACTAAAACAACAAAAAATAAAAAAGAAGAAGAAGAAATTTTAAAGGAGAATCATGGGCCTACATGCAGAGAACAGAAATGCTTAACACAAGGGGTCAGAGTTGTCCATATAACTTAGAGCTAAAGAGAATAATGCCTTGAGAACTCAGGACTTCCTACCAGTGAATGTCATTTACATTTACTGTGCAGAACAAATACTAGTTTCTTCCTTGAAGGATGTACTTTCGTTATATTTTGAGCAGAGAAAAACTAGTATGTCAGGGGACAGGAGTATATAGCTCAATGACAGAGCATGTGCTCAGCCTGCTCAAAGCCCGGGTTTGATCCACAGCTCAAACAAAATATTTACTACATCCTATGTAAGCTTGATAAATTCATACCACAGCAAGACTTACCAGATTTTTAAATGAGATAAAATATTCCTAGCCCAATGTTTTATATTATTCACAATTTTTCTACTTACAAAGTCTTGACGTATATCATTGAAGTCTTTGCCATATTTTTCCAATGCCTCTTCAAATAAGCTAGCTTCAGAGGCTGACCATTCTTCCATTTCATCTCTGCATAAAACCGGTCCTCCAAGTGGTACTAAGACACTAATTGCACTGCTCAAGTCATAGCCATGTCTGTATAATGTATCCATAGCATGAAACTAGAGGAAAAATGGATAGGAAGTGTCAGCTAGATATACATACTTGCTGGATTACTTAGTAAGAAAACATTACAACACGTAACAACAACAAAATGCTTTAGTGCTTTAAAAAAAAAGAGAGAACGGATTACCAAGTACGTATTTAAAATTTCATCTCTTGCTTAAAAAATTGTTGACCTGTTCCCGATGTAGTGGTACATGCCTTATAATTACAACTACTTGAAAGACTGACACGAATTCAAGACCCTATCTCATAAACAGGCTAAGGATACAGCTCAGTGGTAGCATGTTTGTGTATGCATGACCCTGGATTCAATCTCTAGCACCATAGGGGGGGGGATGGGATGTGAAAATGCTGATTTGTACCTTTTTTTAGGGTATGTATGCCAAAGTTATTCCAGTTACTGCATAAAGTACATATAGCTTTCCTTGGCTAGGGAAAAACACATGATGTATCAGAGAGCTGAGAAAAAATATTCTAAGGTTAGAATAAGAGGTAAAATAATAATAAAAGACAATAATAAGAGATGGAAAGAAACCAATAGACTGGCATATGATAATTAAGATGAAACAAAATTACAAATCCATGTTAAACAGGCAAAACAAAAACAAAAGTATGTATCTATGTTAAAATGATAACCTGACCAAGATTTTGGAAGACCAATAACAGATGACCAGGTTTGGCTGTAACAGCTAGGCAGATGTGTTTCCTATACATTTCAACCAAGAGAATTTGAAAAGAGGAAAAACAGATTGGTGAACAGAGTCACCTGGTGCATACAATCAGCTTTTTCTTCTTCCCATTTTTGAAAAAGCATCTCAAGACTAGCTTATTAAAAAAGCATATTTTTCTCCAATCAGAACAATGAATAAAGTAGGCTTGAAAACCTCAAGTTTTAAAATTTATTGATGGTTTTTCTGCTGGAGAGACATTCATTCAGAACATCTATGTACTCTTTGTATAGCAGGAAAACTACAAAACAGGATAATCAGTTGTGTATACCCATGGGTTTGCCAGACTGGTTGGCAAGGTAAATCAACCCCTGCCCAAGTGAAAACTGGTTCTGTTTTCATTCTCTACCCCCTCAGACTTTCTAACATATGAACACCAAGTCTTCCATCTTTTACACTTTTCTGCTATTTATTAATAACTTCACAGATGGAAATAGCTTCACTTCTAAAGAACAATTAAGTCTCTTAAAAATTACTATTTCAGTGATTCCTGAATATGTAGCAGGAACTGTGGAAGGTTCCCTACTTGTATGAGAACATACAATAAATTCAAATATCAACTAATACATATAAGAAAAATTACTAGCCAAGTGTACACTAATAGTATATATTTGCACTGAATAAGAGTGTGTGAATCTATTGGCAAAGCTAATGCAGTATTTAGAATATGCAAACAAGCTTAGAAATAGTAACTAACTGTTTTAACTAGGGTTGACCTCTCACTTAAACCACTGGACTCTACTGAATAAAAGCCAAGCAGAGACTTTATTATCAGTTTCCTAGTTAGAATCACCAAGATCACTAACCATGTGCAGTCTTGCTGCATGTGTGTTGCAGTCATGGAACAGTAACTTCCAAAGTGAATTTCTTCTCGCCCTTCTTTTTTTGCAGGAGTATTTGGGGGGGGGGGGATGGTGCACCAGTATGAAATCAGGGTCTCACTATATAGATTAAACTGGCCTGGAACTCAGTATGTATATCCCGGCTGGCCCTGCAATCCTCTGGACGCAGGTGCACACATGCTAGGATTATGATCGCGCACCACCACAGCTGGCTTTCCACCCTTCTGTGGAAAAGGGACAGTGCAAAAATCTCAGACAAGAACTGATCTGATTCCTTGCTTGTGCTCCACAAATTACAAATATCAACTTAAGTTTGCTCCTCTAGCTAAACTCATTAAGCAGACTGCAATTTAGCTACAACTTGGCGTTTCTTTCATGTACCTCTGAAACTAATTAGTTTCTGAATAACCGATCTATGAAAATGAAAAGATCACTATCTTTTAGAGAGTCTTTCAATTAACAATACCCCATAATCATTATTTTATAACTTCCTAAATTTATAACTGATAACAAAGCTAAAAGATTAAGCTGGATGTGACACTTAAATAGTCTTAGCATTTGGGAAGCTGAAAGCAGGATACCTGAAGCAAGTTCAAGGCCGGCATAAAATACACACTAATACCCTGTGTCTCAAAATAAAACAAAACAAAAAACAAGCAAACAAACAAAACTAACAGCTTAAATGGTTTTCAAAATTCAATAATACAAATTAACCAATGATGAAATTTCTCAAGAGATAAAAAGTAATGTTTATAATTAACAGGTACTCTGAAACCAAAAGACACAGAATTAAATGCATTTGTCTCAGCTAATATTACACCAACCACTCAAAACCTCTCAAGCCCACATGCAAACCACAGCCAGGAGCAGAATGCAGTACTATTTCATAGGGCAGAAAGTAAACATCTCACCAAGCTTGTGCACTTTGGAATTCCTAGGGTAGAATTCTGTTGAAATCAATGACAACAATGCAAGGTGTAGAGAATCACATTATTTGCTAGAAGTCCATATTAATCTCATCTTTTGACAAAGATGTTTTTTCTAAAGAAATTTTTACATAGTCTAACTCTACCCTTTTTTAAAAACCCTTTAACTGGCTAGGCATAGTGGCACATGACTGTAATCCCAGCTCTTGGCAGCTTGAGGCAAGAGGATAGCAGCAAGTTCAAGACCAGCCTAGGCTACAAGGCTGCCTCAACTGCACACCAAAATTCTGGCTCAAAAAAAAAAAAAAAAAAAAAAAAAAAGCCTTTAAATAAAACATAGGTATAATTTCTGCTACAAAAGAGATAATATCCAACAGAGCAACTGAAAAGAAGAACATACCATAAAGGAACATAGTAGTATGACATATAACCAACAACTTAAAAGTTCACCACCAAGACCATAAAAATTTAAAGATCCAGACAAGTTTAAAAACAGGAACAACTAACCAATGGTGAAAAACATCAGAACACTAGCTGGCAAACGACACGAAAGGATACTTTTGGGATACTGATACACTTTCTCTAAATCAGATATTTGTACACATAAATTTATAAAATTTACAACAAAGCACAGGACAATATACATATTACTACAAGTATAACTCAAATAAATTTAATAAGCATAAAACTCCTAAAGTATTTCTTCCAGATATTTTGTAAAACTACCATCTTTCCAATAGATACACACATTGCAAGAAACATTCAAATCTAAATTTTAAAAACCACCAAGCACAAGCTGTTCTCTCTGCCAATAAGTAGTGAAGGTGTTGTCACATTTCATCTCATTCATAACAGATGGAAATGACAAATAGAAGTATTTTAGGAAGAAGACTGACAAGGAAATCTTGGCAGTGGAATTCTCATCTTTTGTTCATTAAGCAAAATCACACTACAGTAAACTGGATTGTTGTTCAGCAAATACTTACTCTTTCCCCAGAGCCTCCCCAGGAAACTATTCTCTCACCCCGCTCATGTGGAACCTGCCCAAGTGACTTGGCCGGCCAGTACAATATTAAGATATGTACCTTAACAGAGACTTGACATGTGTTTGTACACCTGGTCTTGCCCTCTTGTGCACACAGGGCACATTTAGGCCCCACTTATGTCAGCTCATGTAGTCTACCAGAATCCTTGCTGATCTGCAGATGAGTGTATTAGAAACCAATGTTTGTTGTCATATCCCACAGAAATTTGAGGAAATGCAATGGATTGCCCCGACCACTCCTTTTAAGAAGAGAGACTTAACCTAGCTGCTAGAAGGATTCAAACACACAGTCCTGCTCCCCCTTGGTTTTCCCTAGAATTACCTCAATTTATAAAAGTTACTTCTGGGTAGCCTATGCTCAGGGATGAAAGGCGCAACAGAAACAAACCACACAATGGAGTCAGATGTGGCCTTCATTCAGAATGCATCACCACAGCCTGCCACCTTCCTCTTGATAGCCAATCCTCCCTCAACCTCTTCTCTACAGGTGTTAATCCCAAAGACACTTTTTTTTTTTCATCTTTTTCTCGTTTTTTATCGGTACCGGGGATCGAACTCACGACCGCCTGCTTGCAAGGCAGGTGCTTATGCCGCTGAGCTAAATCCCCAGCCCCTCAAAGACACTTCTTAATAAATGTCCCGCATGAAAAGCATCCTTGGAATCTGCTTCCCAGGTGATACAACCTGTCACACGTTAGCACTGTTATGACAATGCTTACATACACATATGTTTGATACTAACTACTGATTTGCAAAGTAATTTTATAAAAGCTTTACACTTATAATTCTAGTACAAATTATAACATGCAAAACATCATCCTCTTAAACATTACTGAGCATAAAGTTTTTTCTCTAAGCAGAAAGTAAATGAATATAAACTCTCAGGAATAAAACCTAAAACTACAATCAGGGCAAAACTTCTATATACCAAAACAAACAGTGGCCAATGTGATGGCACACACCTGTGACTCTAGCAGTCTGGAAGCCTGAGGCAGGCAGATCGCAATTTCCAGCCTACTCTGGGTAACTTGGTAAGACCTTGCTTCAAAATAACAAATACAAAAAGGGTTTGGGGAGAGAGGTAGCCCAGTGTGAAGGTCGTGGGTTCAATCTTTCGTATTCACACACAAAGAGAAAAACAAAAAACACTTTCAATTTTACTGAAGAATCATATTTCAGGTCTGAAGAGAAAACACAATACATGGAAAGAATTTGGTGCATGCACATTCTGGGACCACAAGGCCCTGCTCAAGGCAACTAACATGCATTTACAATCTTCATCTCACCTAGGAAATTATCACAACGCAAATAAAGAATCATAATGTAAATTAGGAGATACGGGGGCTCAGCAGCACAAGTGCTTGCCTAGCAAGCATGAGGTCCTGAGTTCAATCTCTAGTACCAAAAAAAAAGAAAGCAAGAGAGAGAGAGAGAGAGAGAGAGAGAGAGAGAAAA